CTCATCTCATATAATGAAATCAATTTTACTCTCAAATTATACAATTTTATTTAATTTGTATCTCTGTGTATGTTCATGCCGCGTCTGGATATTGTTCTTTGATGCAAATTATTAATTTCTGACCCGAGCATAAAAATAATTAATTTTGGTCCGTTTATTTGTTTAAAGTGCATTTTGGTACAGTAATCTTTTCTTACAAAAATATTTCGTTATTGTACAATTTGTATTATTTTGGGGACATTAATCTCAAAATGTATTGGTGTTATTAAAATATTTATTTGTGAGTTGTCTCACATTGTTTATATAAGAAAAATATGTTTAATTTATAAGTTTAGTGGGTTACTATTTCTACCACCAATTAGTTTTAAGATGGAACCTAAATTGGTTTTATATGGGCTTTATTCTCTGTCTTGTGCGCTACATCTGCGTGGGACCGCACTCGTTTTTTTTCCCGATTTTTATAGGTATGTTATTTTTTTGGCATTATTTAGACAAGTAAACATATCAAAATTGAAATTTCGTCACATTAAGGGAGTCGATCCTTCATTTTACATGAACAAAGATGCATACTTATCTATATATGTACTAATTGAAAGAGGTTGTTAGATTCTTTTTACTTATAGTGGGTAATTAGTACAACACTCGTGTTTGCTAATTTTTTTTTTCTTAAAATCTAAAATAATGAGAAAAAGTAGTTTGAAAATTTAAATACCGTTTATAAGAATATATATATTATTATATATTTATTATGACACTTTTTATTTGTGCGACTTACTTGTGTTATATTATACTAATTTTTTTAACTTACAACATATAACTACATTAAATATAAATATATCAATTGAGAAATAATTTTATTTTTCTAATAAATTTTAATTTATTATTATTTTTTATTATTATAAAGATAAATATAATTTATTTATTTCATATATACAATATGGATGTCAAATCGAAAATCATCAAAAAATGATTAATTTGATATATTATATATGTAAATCCGATAAAAAATACAAAAGTTTTCAACTTTTAAAATACATTTATAATTCAATAGTTTATTGAAGGAAACAAATCAAAATTCAAGGATATATTAGTCACTTAGTGCCTCACTATGTAAAATTTATAAGAATTAAAGGGTTATATTAGTAAAAGAGATATTAAAATACTTAAGTTAGCTAAATAATATTTATGGAATACCCGAACCTAAATTATTAATTATAAATATATCAATATTATTTGTCAAAACCTAATTACGAAGCATTATTATTCGCCAAATAGGATTTTGAAGCACCAGAAGCAGCCACGTAGGCTCAGCGCATTCGGGAATTATATATAGGGAGGATTTTAGGTCAAATTTGCCAATAAAGGAAATTCTCAAAATAATTTAAAGAAAAATGTATTTAGCTTATTTATTTGAAAAAATAAAAAACATTTGGAAACTTTACGGAGGAGATTTTTTATTTCCAGTTTTCTCATGAAATTGTTTTTTGTTTCCTACTTTTACGTACGAAAGGAATATATTTTTTATTTTTTTTTTTAAAAAAAAGTGAAGTACGAATTATATTTTCATTTTCATTTCAACGAAAGTATAATTTCGTTGGTTCTATTTTCGTTATCCATATTTTATGACTGATATTTTTGTTTTTAATTATTTATGATTTTATTTGAAGTTGAATCGATTTTTTTTTTTTTATTTTTACGTATGAAAGGAAAATCTGACTTTATTTAAAAAAAATACGTAAACTTGTCAAAATATAAGAATATCATTGTCATCCTTATTTATCATATTTACATATCAAATAGAATAATTCAAAAAAAATCTTTATTTCATTATCAAAATTTCGATATAATAATATTTCTGCCTTTCA